GAAGATTGTCCTATTTAATACATTAGTTTGAAAGAGGCGAATAAAAGATGGAATGAATTTAAGGGATAATAGACTGATTTAATTTCAAAACATAATTTCAAAAGAGAAAAAACATTTAATGTGGCGATAAAAGAAATTAAGTAACTACGAGACTATTATAATGATTAATTATCAGAAATACTTATATCTATTAATGAATAATTAATTCAAAATACTTAAAATATTAAAGATTTTATTAATTTAGAAAATAAATAGATATTTGAATTAGAAGAAAAATAAGTTGAAAAAATAGTTGATTTGTTAAGTTAAAAAGATAAAAATAAGCATCTGCTTGAAGAGCAAGAAAAACAAGAAAGACTTGATTATTTGTTTTATTAAAGTATCAAATAAAAATTGGATTGTCTTATAAAACATGATCTTCTTTGTAAGTAATAATTGATTAAATTAATGTAATAACAATTAGGTAATTTAATATATATTATTACTAGATTTATAATAATCTGAAAGAAACGATTCACCAATCAATAAAAAATGTCCTGAAATACATGAATTCATATCCAAATGCTAATTGCAAGATTCTTATATCTCTATATTTAATGAGTCAGTTGACTTATAGATGGAATTATAGAAAGAAGCGAACAATTTATAATAACAAGGATAGCTTGAGTAATTGACTTAATTTGAGAGTGATAATAATAATGAGAATGCTTAATTTTCTTAAATGTAATAATAATATAAATAATTTGAAATAAATTCAGAAAAAATGAGAAAATTGATATAGAAATATAAGTTAATTAATTTTTTTCAATTTTTTAAAATCTTAAGCATTTTAATATTGTGGAAATTAAAAAACACAATTAATAAGGATTTTTAAACTAAGATATTAAATTTTTTAATAGCCCATATGGAGTATCAGTAAGTTTATGATAAAAATCAACATAAACAAAGTTTCAAACCAGGTTGCACTCCAATTATAGATATTGAAGTATTACGTTTTTCCAGAACAATTTATTATTCTCCTGAAAGTTTTGTTTTATGTAAGTTATCAATCTAGTTATATTTTAATTAAGAATTATAATTTCCAAGTTCTCTCCTTTACCATTTTTTTTGATTATCCTAATCATTAATGATATTTTGTTTTTCACCTTATAAAAACAGCAACACCTCATCTTACTGATCGTTCTTTAATTTTATTTACTACTTAAATTATTCATGTATGCCTTCAATTTCGAGAAATTCCTCTTTTTTATTATAGAATGGCTGATTACTAAGTTTAGCTCTTCTAAAAATATTTTGAACAAGATTATATGTTTCTTAGAAATAAAATGTTTTAGATCTCTCTTCTCGACGGAGATAAATTTTCGTTTAATTTTGATAATATTTAATAATTGGATGTTTCTTTTCAGCCTAAAGCCCAAAATAAAATACATTTAATAAAACTTTTCAGAGTGTAAACTTAGTTATAAGGTAAATAATATCAATAGCTCAAAAATATATTTTTGCAGCAAAAAAATAATTTAAATCAATTTAAACCAAAAATTACATTTTATTTTCCTTTTGTTATGAAGATTTAACAAAGCTAGGAAGATATTATAGAATACCTCGTAATGTAAAAAGACATGTCAAGCATGACTAATTATATGATAAAGTTTGAAGATTTCTAATTTTATATTTTGATCTTATTGGATAAACTAAATCTTATCAATATTGAGAAATAAAACTTTTGTTAGAAAATGGTTTTCTAACTTGGTTTTTCTAAATTAAATACTTAGTGATTACCAATAATAAGATTCATTAAGATAAAGGATTGAGCCCGTTACTTTTGAAAATAATGAACAAACAAAAGTTCAGTATAAAATCAATATTTTAATCTTAATGAAGGGAAATTGTTTATTTTTACAAAAAAATGTTTGTCTACAAAATCCTTCAATTTAGTTAAGGGTGGAGTAGAAAATCCAGCCTGCTTTCATATGCTTCATTAAGAGATATTAATTGATTCTCCTATAGTTATGATATTAAAAATTTTAATTCCATCTTATCATCTGCTTAGAAGCTATAATTTAAATACCTTAAGGAGGAATTATCAGAATGGGTTTTTTATTTTGAAAAATACCATTATTAATTATGATGATTTCTCTATTAGCCTCACCTAATTCTAAGATGAGTTCCTCATATATTTAGATTTCCTAAAATTAATTTTTTCTTTTTTATAAGTTTTTTTGATTAATTCAGAATTAATTTAATAAATTCGAATGACAGATTATTTTATATATTACTTTATTTTTATTTATATAAAAATATTCTTTAAATGAATTAGATTTAGTTACGGATATCAATTACTTAATAATTTTCTCATAAAATTATCATTAAGCTTCACCTTGACTAGAAAGGCTGCAAAGAGCGACACGAGTGTATTAAATCTCTTGACCGCTCTGTTTATGTGGGTAAGCTACTTTCTCACAATCTTTAACAAAGAGTAGCTGTTAGATTCTTCCAATCGTAAAGTTTCCTTAAGCAATTTCATATTCACTAAGTTCTTTTTCTGTTCCAATTTGAAAAGAGGAGAACATTCACTTTTTATACCCCTCTTTTAGCAATAACTCTGAGATTATAATGTTACAGAGTCTAAGAAATTCTAATAAATCTTCTCAAATTTCAAGAGTTTTAATTTTTTTAATATATATAACACCTCTTAAATGCTTAAATGAATTTCTTCTTATTAATTCAAGAGTTAAGATTTAATTCTATTAATAAAATGGTAAAAAGTGTGAATAGTTGATTTTCATTATTCTTAAAATTTTCACGGATAACAACTTTTTATAAAAAAATGTTCCTCCTACTTTTTTTAAGTTATCTTAATAAGTTTTAAGTAACATCAGATCCCTATAACACGAGTTGATTAGAAAACAGATCAATACTAGCGCTACTAATAAATTAATTATATTATTAAACTTAAAGAATAATAGCCTTATTAGTGGTTTCTTTTTGATTTCATCAATCATCTTTACTTTATAAAAATTAAGTTTATTGTTATAGGTAGGTTTCGTTACATGCTATTTATTCTAACTCAATTTCAACATTTAATCAAGTTCAAAAAATTTCCATGAATATAAAATTATGATTACTAATTTTTACTATGCACCTTTTAACTAGATTAGATTATTTTTATTCATAAGTCTCAATCATTTAATTAATCATTATTAGCTTTATTTTTTACTTCAATCTTCTAATTTGATTTTCCCTTCAATATAAAATTAATTATTTAACACTAATTTGAAATAATTTTATATGATATCTCACAACCATTAGTCAATGTTATCATGAAATATAAATTTAGTATTGTGATTTTTCAATCTTTCAAGATTTTCAATTCATTCTTAAATGTTTTAGATCATCACTTAAAAAATAGAAGGCTCACTTTACTTATGATACAATGTACTTTACTGGTTTTCTAAGTATAAGCTCTAAATTCAAATTTAAATTTGAAAAAGTAAGCTATAGTTAAACTATATAGACAGCACATATGTTGTGCCTCTTATCTCCATCAAACTAGACATATATTGGTCTAATACACTTATTGACATCAATATTCAACAAGTTTAGTGTAATTAGAGTTTTTAGGTGAAAAGTTTTGAATGACTATCACATAAAAAGTCAAATTTCATTTTCAATAAATTAATGATTTTCTCATTAAGTCCCCTAGCTTTTGCTAAATATTTTTCTTTTATTTAATAATAGAAATCCATATTATATTATTGAAAATTGATAATAATTAAATTATTTTGAAATCAAATTAAAAAAGATAAAATAGGGCATATAATTTAGTGTAAAATTTAACAATTAATAAATTTATCTAAGCTTTACTTTTCATAATTTATAAATCTTTAAGTTCGAAATATGAGGGTAATTGATAAATAATTAATTTTCAAATACAAAATTTATTAATCATCAAAACCTAACAATAATTTGATCAAGTATATAACCAAAATTACTTCGAGGTGATTATTGGATTAAATTATTTTACATTTTATAAGATATAACAAAGAAAATAATAAAGGGTTCAGTAGAAATGTATTTAGGTAGTCGAGATGGGTTAAAGGCAGAATATTTTTGGTAGAAAGTTAATAATAAAGACAATCTACTCATGATATTTAAATCCGAAAGTGGCTCTATCTTTGGAGCATACTCTCCTTGTAAATGGGATTCTAGTAAAAATACATATATAGCAGATAATACATTAACATCTTTTATATTTTCATAAACTCATGATTAAATATATAATTTGAAAGAGGATAAGAAGGATAGAGCTATTTATTGTAAAAGTGATTTTGGACCATCATATGGAAATTATAATGATATTTATATTAAAGGTGATTTTACTGATGGTTATTCTAGATTAGGAGATGATTATGAATTTGATAGAGATAAAAATAAGAATTATTCTACTCATCTTTATGGATAAGAAAAGCCAGAAATATAGGAATGTGAAATATATCAAATATAATTCAATTGAATCTATTATATTTTAAGTAAGTCCTCCGTTATTTAATCTGTATATTATTAAATATAAAAAATAAGAATTCAACTATTATTTCTTAAATGCAGAATTAAAATGATTGATGAATTAACTCGCATCACTCAGAATTGAAAAGAGATATAAAAATAGAAATTTATTTACGCCTAATGTCTAATCTTTGTTGAGTTGGTTAAATTATATTTTCTATGATAATTAGTTTTATCATTAAATAAGGATAGAGATATTTTAATTACAATTCTAATTATGTGATATTTATCTAAAAGAATGTAAAATACACTTTGTGTGTTCTATAGAATAGTTAATGCCAATATAAAATATGATATCAATCAATAATTATTATCTTAATTAATCAGCCATTACTCTTAATTACAATAAATGGTAATATAAATAATCAAATATATAAATATGATTGGTTCTTTAGTATTATGGTAGGGCAATTCAATCAAACTTAAATGATACATTTAAATATAATAATTTAAATTTGATAATAAAAAGAGAGATAATTGAAACAGATTTATAAGTTTAGAAGACAGTAAAGGAAATCAATCCAGATTACATTAAAACTTGTAGGTGCTAAATATTATAATGTCTAATTCTTCTTTTTAAAAAGATCAAATGGACAGAAAATAAAATTTGAATTAGGATGATAAAAATTCAGAAAATGAATGTTTCCTATTAGCTCAGGTTTTGAATAGAATCAAAATATTAGAGATATAAGGCTAATTTAGGTAGATAAAAAGGTAACTTCAATAAAAGGTTGAAATGTGAATTAATTTATTCCTATTGTTTTTGAGGATTAGAAAAAAAGGAAAATTCTTAAGATGTAGTTATTTAATTAAAATAGTCCTGAAATATTCTATTTTTCTAACCAAGATTTAAATTATGAATAGGCTGAATCATGATGAATGATTAATATAAAAAAGTTCTATTGATATCAAACTAATTATGTCAAATATATTATCTTTATAAATATAAGTCAGGAAACAGGCATAAGCGGACGAATATTTTGAAAGATTCTAAAAAATTGAAAGATTGCTTTCTTGTAACTGCTATAAATAAAATAAAATAATTTCAATATATATATGTAAGTTGAAAAAAGAAAACTAAGCAATTAATAAGACTTAGATTATAAATAATTTTAAGTAAATTTTGAAGCAAGAGTTAAAGTTCATGTACTATGATTTATAGTAAACTGTGATATGAATATTATATCAAATAGACTATACTATAGAATATCAAATGGAAGCTAAATTTTAGAAAAGTAATGCAACTAAAAACAATTAAAAAGTTAGTTAAATTTCAAAAACTCCTTTAAAATGGAAAAAGGATGGATAATTAATAAAATAACTTTTTTTAATTAATAACAACTCTTTTGTGGTTGTTTCTGTCAACATTTATTATTATGAAGAAGCATCTATCTATTTTTAAAAGATAGAGATTATAATCTTAACATATAAAAATAATCAATCGTTTTTTTATATAGGTAAGATTACCTTATACTTTTTTGATATTATAATAGCAAACTCTTTTTTGCCATTATAGTTTTGCAAGATTGCAATTTTTCTAAAAATACCACTACTTAATGTATTAAATCTTAAATTTTTTAATCATAGTTTTCCCCAATTATTGAATGAAATGGAAATTTATCAAATTAATATTGTTTAAGTAAAATAAATACCCTTTTTTGAGCATATCATAATTTTAAAAACTATCTTAACCAAATTTCTTAATTGTTCATTAATTATTAAGAGGAAGTAAAAAAAGTGATCATTTTGTTTTTCAAATTCTAAATATAAAAATCGATTAAAACTTTTTAGCCTAAGAGATCTCTCAATAATTATTCAATTTTTTCCTAATCATTAGTTATATATCATTTCGATAATTGATTAAAGAATTAATAGGAGAGTATATTTTTAATTTAAATTCAATTAACATAATATTATTTAATAATAAAAGATATTATTAGAAAGATGATGGTTGTTTGATAATTTATATGTTGGTTTCATATTAAATAATATATAAGTATCAGAATTCAATTGATATATATTATTTGGGCTCTAATTTAATATATATATCATAATTGTTCAATATTATTATGCAAATTGCTTAAAAAAAAAGTATTGCCTATGATTCATTTTGAAATATTAAAGTCAGAGCAAATTAATTTTTAGGTATAAGAGTGCTTTACTTATGTTTATTTATAATATCAATACAAATACTAAGGGATCTTTTTTAGTATGAATTTTCGATTAATTTAAATTAAATTACTGATGTAGGCTGTGATTTCTGCAAAATGAAAATATGGTTACATTTTGCATGAGTAAATTTATAATTTATTTCCAATAATTAGGTATCAAGCATAAAAATACTGTCCATTAAAGGAATACATCATCCTAAAAAGAATACTTATTTTTTAAATCAGATTACATAATTGGATAGTTTCACTTATTTGTTTCTTTATATACGATTCTAAGTGTATTAATTTTTAAGAAAGATGTAAAATAGAAACTAAATGTTATTTTATCAAGATTTAAAGGTTATTGGAAATTAATATCTTAATTTTTCCAATTGAATAATCTTATTGAATCTTAACCATAATACTGAATCTTCATTCGCAATAAGGACTTATAAATTGATTCTTATTTTTGATTTGGCCATTAGTATTATTATTTTAAAAAAGGACTTTCTCAATAGATTCTTATATTTTTTACTATTTTTAATTTTCATCAACCTTATTATTTTTCATATTAGTCCAGTAACATCTTAAATTGTTCGATTGAAAAATTGTGAATTTTCAAAATCCTGATATAATTAAAATAATAAACACTTTTATAGCTTGCAATATAACATATAATAAGATGGATTTAATAAAGTTTTCTTTCCTAAATTATAAAAGTTGAATTTACTTATATCAATATGATAGATGAATCTGACAATTAGATAGAAACAAGGCCATAATTACCTAAAGAAAAATATAACAATATTATTTATTCTTAAATGTATTATATCTCTTTGAAAAACAAGACAAAAGAAAATGAAATAAATGTAAAACTTAATTTACATAATTTTAAATTTCAATTAATATAAATTTAATAATTCAAAATTATTTGTTCTTAAAAGCTAAGAAGTAGAATTATTGAAGTAAGTGTTATTTAAATTATTTATTAAGTTTTTTGGCATCCTATCTTATCTTGATTAAAAATAAATCTAATAGTAGATTTATTTGAACTGAAAATATTTAATAATTCTTATTTTTATCTCTATCAAATTCATAATCCTCTCCTAAATTAGAATGGCCATCAGTAAAATCACCTTTAATATCAATATCATTATAATATCCATATGATGGTCCAAAATCACTTTTACAATAAATAGCATATTTCTTATCCTCTTTCAAATTATATATTTAATCATGAGTTTATGAAAATATAAAAGATGTTAATGTATTATCTGCTATAATCTATCCATTAGTCACCCATTTACAAGGAGAGTATGCTCCAAAGATAGAGCCACTTTTGGATTTAAATATCATGAGTAGATTGTCTTTATTATTAACTTTCTACCAAAAATATTCTGCCTTTAACCCATCTCGACTACCTAAATACATTTCTACTGAACCCTTTATTATTTTCTTTGTTTTCTCTTATAAAATGTAAAATATTGAAAAGGTTAATTTTCTGAAATCAAATATATTTTATAAGTAAAGTAATTTAATTTATAAATGCAAAGTTTACTCGAAATATAATTGCATTTAAATAAATAGTTTTGAATAGAAAATCTTATTATTCTCTACTCAAAAATATCAATTTGATTGGAATATCAATGTGAAAGTTTTCATAAACTAAGTATTGGTTTTGATTCAATTTTTCCAATCAATTTGTATTGACAATTAACTTTTTTAAGCATCAATTATTTATTTCTCTTTTTCTTCAGGCTTTTTCAATGTTATATAAACTAAAAATCTATTATTTATAATCAATTAGAAACCTTCACCTTACAGCATCATTTGTTTCTCAAGCTTGTTTTCTTAAATAAAGAAATATTCAATTATTTGTATGGAAAGAAATTAATCGTTTTTACAATAAATATTGAAGATTATATCCAAATTTATAAAAAATCCTTCATTTTAAATATATAAAAAGTGATTAGCTTATTTATGCAGGAATTTTTCAATTTTTTTTATTTATCTCCATAATAAGATTCTCGTTAAATTTACAGAGTATCTTATCTACCAATATTTTAATGTTTTTATATTATCCAAAATATATTTTAATTAATTGTTAATCTTTAATCAATAGAATGTACTTCAATCTAGCACAATTATGATTTAATTTCAGCTTAAGCTTTCCTTAACTTATTATTTGTTATCTCATTATAATTTTTTTCAACTTAGCATTGGTTAGAATATACCATTTGTCACCTTTTAATTTGTGAATCATAATTACCTTATTATTATTTTAAATAATAAAGTTGTTTTATTTTTAAAAAGTAAGTTTAATTATTTCTATTATTATACAAAAGAGGTTCTCAAAATCAAATTGATTTTCACAAATTTTACAATATTTAGAAAAGAAATTATCAACTCTATCTTCATATATTTATTGATAAGCGTGGTAAACTTGGAAATTTTAATTAAATATTAGAATTTTTATCAGTATATATGCATATTTAAATACAAAATTATAAAACTAATTTTTTAAGTAAATTAATAAAATATATATAAGAGTAAACTAATTAACCTATATATAGTGTTAAATATGAAGAAAATGAAGTTATGTTATTGATCATTTATTATACTCATCTTCTAATTACTTTTGATAATTTCCAAATAAGCAAAGTTCAAAATAAAGTAAAATTGTTGAGTTTTCAAATCTATTTTAACATCATTTCCAAAAGTATATAATAAGGGTAAAATAATTGATTTGATTTTTAAGTTTTATAATTCAATCTTTAGATGAATCTAAGGATATTTGAAATCTAAATATATGAATAAAGGGAATCAAAAGTAATAGGCTTGGATTAAAAAAATTTAATTTTAAAATATAAATATTAGATTGAATTATTTAATTTTAATTTATTAATATTAATTTTTTTTATTATGTTTTAATCAAAATTGATAGAATTAGAAGAATAACTCAATTTTTGTAAGAATCATTAACAACCTATTCTGATGGTTTTATTAGATTAAAACTTAAAAAGAGAGGAACGCTTTTTATGTGCTATTTGTATGGAAAATTTTGAAGCAGAAACTAAAATAATTGGATTTAAAAAACTACTTAAAATGATCTAAGAAAACTAAAAGAATAAAGAAAAAAATATCTAAGGATTGATTAAAGTTGATGTGGATTTGGTAGAATCATTAGTTAACGAAATACAGATATTAAAGTCAAACTTTATTTCCAAATTTGATGAATTATTAACTAATTCAACAGAATGGATCAAAAGTCTTTAAAGTATTGGTTAACAAACTTTTAGTTATAGTTTTTTTGATGAATTAGAAATAATTATTAATAATCAAATGTAAAATTAAATGATTTAAGAATAAATTTATGAGTAAATAACTACACTTAATAATTCATTTTGTAACAAAATTAATGACAAATTATCTTCTCTAAAGAACTAAGAATTATATTCGTAATGTGATAAAACCTTAATCAATTTAAATTTAAATCATAATATTAAATTAATAGATGATTCAAATAAATAAATTGATACTTGTTATGCAATTTCTTTTAATTAATCTGGGTCACTCATGATCTCAGCATCTAATTGTGACATTAAAGTATGGAATTTTGAGAAAGGAAGAATGAATGAATTTAGCAAAATTAG